CAGGAATGAAAACAAGTTTTTGACCAAGGAGTAGTTTCTTTCAGTCTGTCTCCTAACTCTGATCACTGAAACAGGCTCTTCCCAGCTTGATTTTTTTCTAGCCTAATGCATACTGGACTTAACTTTAATCAAGAGTACAAAATGTCCCTAACCAAGGTTCATATCCTGTTAGTTAGTGCACCACCTGCAAGACAGAGGTTGTGTGGCTGAACCTGTTGGAATGAAGAGGGCAAACATCTGGTCTTCTTCCTTCACAGGCATGGGGTCTACATAGGGACCAGCCTGCTACAAGGAATAGGGCATCACTCCTTCACTGAAGAGCCATTCCAGAAAGGAGGAGAGTCATCTCAGTCTGGGATGGTTAGGTGGGCTTTGATTTGGGCTTTCAGAGGACTCCGAGCCAGAACAAAAATCACTATGTCTTATGTTCAGATGCTTTTAACAATAAAACCCCGAGACAAAACAGGATACATCTGTGGAATGACTTTTGAAACCAATAAAATCTGAAAAAAATATATCTTCAAAGCACAGAATACGTTCAGGGATGTTTTAAGTAAGTCTTACAGTTTAGGGCCAACTGTTACACAAAAAAAAATTGAAAAGGTTCTCTAAAGTTCAACTTGAAGCTGCTACTGATAAAATCTACCCAGCACTTCATGTTAGAAAGATCAGCAGCCCATCTTATGAAATCTGTTTTATGGACATCAAAAATAATTTGCTGTTGATTGAAACAAGTAGGGATGCCAATCAATTTTTTAAAAGTGACTCCTGTTCACTCTCTTGTCAGTGCATAGCAGAAATTAAAGAAACTGTGTACCAATTACAAAATCACATTTTAAGTTTTCCACCTCATGATTCTTTATCCTTCCATGTACTAGACTACAACAGCATCACTTTCCTTCCCATCATGTAATATGAACATATTGAACTGATTTACTAAAGCTCATTATTCAAGCCTTTAAAATTAAAGCCACCCCACAAATTAGTTGGAAGAAAACACAATTTTAAGAGTTTACCCTTCTTTAATTTTGGTATATACTGCCACCTATGGTTAAAAATTCAAAAAGCTGATCTCAAAACGCAGTTATCTTGCCTCTACTGGGATTGGATCCACAAACTGAAGCGTTTGTGCACCCCTCAAGTTTGCAGACATTTTTCAGAAGGTTCTGAAAATGAATGATCATTTTTCTTGTTATTTAGTAATCCATTTCTCCATGTCACTCTACTGGCAGTTTTTCCACAATCACTGAGAAGCATGACTTTGTGGTAAAAATACTTCAGGAAAAATAAATGATTGCCCTGTGATTAATATTTTTGATGCCTACAAAACATTTATTTTCTGCAGAGGGTACATAAAGGTGAGCAAAAGGAGTAGGAGGAGATGACAGACCAAAGAGCTTGAAGCCATCAGTCCAACTCATCCTGTAATTATGTAATAATTAAGAAAATTTCTTAATGGGTCATAAAAGTGGTGTATCTTAGCACTTCAGAGAGGATGTTAAGCTTTACAACAGTAAAAGCATACACTAACCAACTCTAATGGTCTAATTTTTATTACAATTAACCAAAACATTAAAAACCAAAACCATGTTGCAGAGAAATGCAGTAAAGAGTGAGGAACAGCACTCTCTGCGTTTTAGGGCTATTTATTAAGATGGGATATTTGAAGCCTCAGACCAAAATATTCACAAGGTTTTGGTGAAAATGAAGGCAGTTCCAGTAAGAAACAGCTGAAACTGAAGCAGGCAATTATAGCCACAGTTAAACTGCTTCCTGCCTTCAGGACAGAAACTCCTACCCAGTTAAGTACAATAAAGCTGAATATTTGTATGTTCCCTATGCTCTTAGAAAGACTGTTTTAAATAGTATCCAGTTCACTACACCAAACCAAAATACAGAAAGGCAACTAGTGCAGGGTAAAGAAAGTTCAAGAGTCTTCTCGGTAGTACTTAAATCTAACATATTTTAGATTTATTTCACATTTTATTCATATGTATCAGTAGAACATCTCCTTAGTTTCTGTGTTAAAGAAGAATAACACTACGGTTATTTTAAAATTAAAATCAGCTTTTAAATTAAGCTAAATGGGCTATTTCTACAGTAAATCATCAAATGTAGGAACATATACTTAATGGCAAAAAAAGGACAATGGGGACAGAAAGGTAACTAGTGCATGGTAAAGAAAGTTCAAGAGGCAAGAGTCTTCTCTGGTAGTACTTAAATCTAACATATTTTAGATTTATTTCACATTTTATTCATATGTAACAATAGAATATCTCCTTAGTTTCTGTGTTAAAGAAGAATAACACTACGGTTATTTTAAAATTAAAATCAGCTTTTAAATTAAGCTAAATGGGCTATTTCTACAGTAAATCATCAAATGTAGGAACATATACTTAATGGCAAAAAAAGGACAATGGGGGAATTGCTCTTTGGCCCACCTCATCCACTTTTTTTTTTACCCAAGCAAGAACTGAAGTTTTATTTGTATGACCTAATCTCTGGTAGCATTTAAAATGTTGACAATCACTTCATTAACAGGAAATTAAGGCTTCATAGTTTACTATTGCATACATCATTCATACTTACAGTGGCTCTTCCTTCTCAGTTCTCTTACTGCTGTGAAGATCATCTTGTTCCTTCATTTTATCTACAGCTTGTGCTTGTTTTTCAATCTCATTAAAGCTTTGGCTGCTCATTTTTTGTGCCCCCAAACCACCTTTTTTGGCACCAAGCTTGATTTATTGAAAAACAGAAAATAAAAGCCCAACATTATAACAGAGAATCACCTCAACTGACTCTGCAGTCAATTCTGAAAGCAGCAGCAAACACTATACTCTGTTTGGGACCATATGCAAACAATAATGAAAACTTGGAGAAGTGAAAGTATTTTTTCATGTTTTGACCCTCTACATGCTTCTTCTACTACCTCTCACAAATTTAGTAAGCTCTGCAGTCAACCATCACAGGGTAATGAACTATTTTTTTTTTTAATTGCTCAGAGGTTGATGTGTTCAAATAAATAGTATAATATATAGCACAACTTTAGTTTCTTCAGAATGATTTTGTGGCATACGAATAATACAATAAAATTTGTTGCAATGGAACCATTTTGTGCTTATTCACTTAATTCACAATTTACATTGAGAAGTAGAAAAGATTCTCTAACTAGTTCGTACTTGTCAGTGCTACTGTGTTATCTTAAGATCAAATACTGATTTATTCATATTTTTAATAAATGTGCAGAGGTATTTATGGATTTATTGTAGGAGAGCAATATTTTGTATATAAGTGTTTGCATGATTAGCCTTTGCATGTAACAAAGCACTGTACACGTTTCTGGATAAAAATGCCAGCTGAGAGATTCCACTTTTGCACTTCTTTTAAAGTAACTTAATTTCTAGTTCATATTACTTCAATACAGGGATAAATTTTCTTTCATTCTGATTATCAAAGACTTAAAAACCACTTAATATTACAAATATTAATAGACACAATGACGCTGACTCAGATGGTGGCACAGGACTCAAACTGCAGTTCTAGTCTCCTGTGTGTTTAATTGCTCACCTGCAACACTGCAGCCTATATTTTTCACATTATATTTATCTTAACTTTTAATGTTTTAAAGTCTTCCCATAAAAGTTCTGGCCTATATACATACAGTTTGAGGCTCTGACACTACAGTTCACAAGCTGCACGTGCACCTGTGAACCCAGTAAAGTTCTTCTTACTGCAAAGGAATATACCTACAAACACCACTCAGAGTAAGAAATTCCTCCTGTGTATTAGGGCCCTCTAGTGGGAGCAAGAAATAATAGGTTTCAATCTAAATTAATCTGCTCCAATAAACTTTCAAAAGCTTTTGGCATACAATAACCATGACTTAAAAGAACTGACTCCCTATCCTATATTATCACCCTAATAGTCTAATATTAGGGCTATTTTCTTAGTTTGCCAGACCCCTTTCAGAAACAAGTCTTTAAACTATCTTGAAATTATCTTGAATAGAACACAGATGCAAGTTACCTACAAATACAACCAAATACAACCCTGCTGTGTGATATGAGATGAGGACTGCTCCAGAAACACACATCTGAATGTCTCACACTCACCTTGGATTGACAGATAATGCCACTCATACATAGTTAGCCACTCAGCAGTGCTACTGGAACTCCATTTTTAGCATTTGCTACAAAAAGATCTCAGTGCCAGCTAACTTAGGAGAAAGCCTGAAGAAAGCCTGCAACCCAGTCTCAGCAAGTGAGACAAAAAGTTGCAAAGTGTCAGTGGAGTTGCAGGGAGACTGGTTATGAAAAGAACCAAAGAGAAGCAGGATACAGACCTTGACATCAGTATATGCTTTGACATGTTTGTTTTACTCATTTTTTGAAAACATATCACCTGCTGCTCAGGCCCAGAAGAAGGAAATGACAGACATACATCTGGAAGTCTAAATATTTCAATGAGCTGTATGCATGTAAAAAGACTTGGAATTTATCTGAGGTCAGAAAACAACCCACAAATCTGAAGCACTCTATTGCATCATAACAATAACCTGTTAGACAAATTTGTCTTAACAATAACCCTTTTTCAAACAGACCATTGGCTGGTTTTGCTATGGAAATGGTGTTCAGTTCCATTTTAGTTTCATAAATTATTACCAATACAAGCACTGTTTAGTACTTAACATGTAGCTCAGTACTTAACCTTCATGGTACATTTCCATACTGTAATCTACATATTTCCAGAGATATATAATACAGTTTAAAATATGCATTATTTATATACACTTACCACCTTCTTAGCTTGATTTGGCTTCTTTTTTATGAAGGTGGTGTTCTCTGCAAAGATTAATGTAATCAACATTACTTGACATACAATTTTATTAATTCCAAAACTGTAGAAGATAATTTCCACAATATCAGCCTCAAAATAGCTTTTGGAATTTATTTCAATGCCTTGAAGTATTATAGTTTGTACACTAAGAGACTGAGACACTAAATGGAGTTACATGGAACAGAGCTGTGAATATCTCAAAAAACAATGTGGGAAATTGCCTCTGATTAGTGATACAGTATCTCTTACCAACACCCAAAAGGAATAAAATTACAGCTCAGTTTTCAATTCTAGATACCTGCCAGTAAACAGAACAAGAACGTAGGATTTGCTCTTCTGAATTAGACTAGAGGTCCACCTGATCCCATACCATTTCCAAGATTAATTGTTGCCTGGATAGAAAGGTATTTCTTATGTTTAAATCCACAAATGATACACATAAAACATACCTGAATCATAAACACAATGACAACCATTATCAGACCAAGTGAGTACAAAACCAGTGACGAAGATCATACCTTTCTGAAGTACTGAGTTACTTCCAGCTACCAATTCCTTACTATCCCTATGCTGCTGAAAATCAATACCTTTTATTCTCAAAAACCTGCTCCTGTAGGACAGTCCTCAAAATTGTAAATCACTGATGTATTTAATTCTATTCTATTTTCCTCACTTTTTTTTTTTTACTTATAGTATGATACACACTTCAGTGTTAAGCAAATTAAGACTCTGGACATTGAAGCTACTGTATTACAAATACAATGATTCTTCTAGTCTATATTGTTACATTCCATTTCCTTAAAAGGGAGCAAAAACTACACCTAGATAGAAAGACTGACCTCAAGGTCAAGAAAGAAGAAAACCTTAAGGTCAAGAAACAAGATGTGTTTTCTTAACATAAATAACAGGCCATTTATCACAGCACAATGCTCTATTCCACCTGTGTGCTTTAAATGCAGGTCACCTTTAGTACGTGTGATACCTGTAGCATTTAAATTCATCAGGTCAGCTAAGGTAAGAGATAAAACTAGAACACTGACTAAAATTAATTTCTTAGAAGGAGCACACTGCTTAACAAAAGAAGCTGTAATAAAAATTCAGATGTTTCAACTAACTCATGCAATGCTGATAATAAAGTAAGAATACCACATCTCTTCACAGTCATATATTCTCAGTACAAATGAATATTGAAGTAGATTATACTGGCTGCTAACTTATTCTGATTACACTCATTACCTAATGCAGCTTTTGGTGACGTGTTAAGGCAATCAACGCTTGGTCCATGTTCTGGTCCTAAAACATAATGAATAACAAGGATAAGAATATCAGAAAGCTCTTTAGAATGCTTAAAATTCCAAAATGCAACTCATTGTACTCAGAGCAGTGTTTGACACACATAACATAATGTCTTGTTTCTATCACAGCTTTACCAGTCACTAAAGGAGCAGCAGGCATCCGAAGATTCATCTGAAGTCATTTGAATCAGATTTTAATTTGGATTTCTACTAAAGATTATTAAAGGAACATGCAGTCCCACAAATTCTATCACAACCCTTCCGAAAAGTCCTTCCCTCTGCAAAATTCTTGTGTTATTATCATGGTAAGGTTATTTAACTGCTAAAGTAAGGTAAAAAGAGTCTAAACAAAGAGACAACTAGAAAAATGCAGCTTATTGTTAACAAAGCATCAGTCTTACCTTCATAGCATTCTGAAATAGTTTCTGAAGTTTTCTGCTGTAGAGAAACTGGCTCTGGCTTTGATAACACCGACTCTGTATTCTTTGCCTTGAAAAAAAAAGTACATCAAAAGTGCACACAAAATAGAATACAGCAAATAAATATGAGCACTGAACTCAAAGACAACTTAAGCATCACTGATTAGTTAATACTGGATTCTTGGGAGTACAGATTCTAGGTCTTAAACCTAGAATCTGTTCTCAGAAGGGCAGTTATTAAAGCTACAACAAACGCCTGCCTTCATTAAAAGTGAGCTGGTTTCAAACCACCTGCACTTCCCTCTCAGGAATTTCAGTGTGTTCACCATCCAAAAAAACAATATGCACTTTAATTGTGCTTTAGATTTATTTATTGTATGCTGGCTATTAATTGTCTTGACTCATAATAATACAGTATAGGAAATCTGAATCACTTATTTGCATGTCTTCTCCTTGCACTAAGCTCTTGCACCTTCCAATTTTCTAACACTTGATTTTTGATTAGCAGTCCTTCAAAGTCTTCCTGATGAGTCCTCCCACTTCCCTCAGTGCTTTTCCACCAGCGCTGTGGCACTGCTGTGCTTTATATTTATTTATTTTTTGCTGGCTATTCATTGTCTTGACTCATAATAATACAGTACAGGAAATCTGGATCACTTATTTCCATATAATCACCATGCCTTCTCCCTGCACTAAGCTCTTGCACCTTCCAATTTTCTAACACTTGATTTTTGATTAGCAGTCCTTCAAAGTCTTCCTGATGAGTCCTCCCACTTCCCTCAGTGCTTTTCCACCAGCGCTGTGGCACTGCCAGTTCATGCTTATTCTTCCTTAAAATCTCAACCCCAAAACTTCCTGACATCTCTTTCTCAAAACATCCATACTCAAATAATCTCTTGCCCTGAGGTACACACACTACTTGTCTCTAACCTCCTGCCTTTGCAGCTACCTTAAAAGTTTGCCATGGAAATTTACTTTATCCTACCCATATATTCTTATCAGAGTTTTTGTATCAAATTCCTACTTCTCCTCCTCAACCACAAAAATATTTACACTTTTCTGCTTAAACCTCTTTTTCTTGCCTCAGTTTATGCTTTTCCCACTGAATTGAAAGTATTCTTCCAGGCTGACCTTTGCAAACAGAAACACCCCATTTATTTTTCTGCTATCAGGACAGATGATCTTCTGGTGAAGATGTCACACTAGAACTCCCAGTAATTGATTTTTTTTTTGTCTTTGCCATGAACATTTCTAAGTAACACAGCAATCTTCTCAGCCTGTGAAAGGTAATACTCTTTCACTGTTTCAGAGATGCTGAAATTTATTTTTACAAAGCATTCAAATATTGGCTGCAGTAGAAGTTCCTAAAATAAACCAAATAGCAAAAAGGCTGGATTTCCTTTTAAAATGGACCATTTTTGAAACCACACAAAAATAGAGGAAAAAAGTTACATTTTGAAATGTCACAACGGAATAAACAAAAGGGGAAAAATATTCATTTTCCATTTAAATGATATTTTTTTCATCCTCAGGCATTCCATATACACTAGAAAGTCACTAAAAGTTGTGTAATTGTTAGTGTTCTTTACTCAGGTGCAGATATGAACAACTTGCACAGGTTTTTCTTCCTTGCACATGCACAACCATCATGCCATGACAGAGGAATTAACGTGCACATGAATTGCAGAAGAGCTTTCACAACAAGGGCTAATCTGATATACCCAAGCTCTCTGAATTCTTCTCTATCCCAAGATGAGCCTTATGATTATAATTCTCAGACTGCAACTGTACTAGAAAGCAATTATACTAGGACATTTAATACTGTTGCAATGTTCAGGAATACTAGGTGTGGTAATAACTTAATTGCTCTAAGCTGAAGATCACAATTGCTGAAGTTGTTTCCACTGGTATTTTTCAAATACCAGGCTCAAGAGTCTCTGTGACTGCCTGAGTCTCACTGTGACTGTGAGTCTCTGTGAAATAAATACAACATCTATCATCAGTAGGAGGTAGGATCAAATAAATGAAAACCAAAAGTAGCAATATCATTCAGCAAGTTACATTTTTGAAGAGGATCTAAGTGTATTTTAGAAGAAGAAAAAAGGCTCCTCCTTTGCAAATGTTTTAAGAACTGTTAAACTTCACTGATCAAAACCCAAATTTATCATATAGTGTATTTAAATCAGAGCACTCTCAAGCAAGGAATGCTGAGTCCAAGGTGGAATTGTATACCTACAAAAAAAATACATTTTCATTCCACATTTAGCTACTATTTGGGTCATTCTAAATTATCACCTTAGAAAGTGGTTCACATCCAGGCAGAATTTTGAGACCCACAGAAGAAAAGCTGATAAATATTAACTCACTGACCTAACCTTTTACTATGAGGTTTTCTTTCAGGGTTTAATCTTCATTTTAGAGCACACAGTCAACCTAAGTGTTTAGAAAGCTAACAAAAAGGAAACACAGGTAATCTGTACCTTAGGAGAAACATGGGATGCAAAAAAGTCTTCCTCTTTGTTTTGAGGTGACGCAGGAGGCACGCCACATCCATCTGTCCACAGCTAGAATTTAAAAGACAGAGAACCTTACAGGTCAATTGCATAATATATTTTTTCAAATGCAGTAATTTCAATTTTTTTTCCCCTGGTACATAATTTTTCCTTTACACATTTATTTAAGCTTCAATATATGATATTCCTTTTTTATATTTTTAATTTCATACATCTTTGATGTGTTCTCTTCACATGGCCCATTTCCTTCCTATAACAAAATTCCCAGTATAAGGTCTGCTGCAGTAATACCATCAATATAATGAGTATCACTAGAGCTTTATAGCAAGTTAGTTTTTTCATATTCTTGTATAAGGTATTTTCTCTCTAAATATTTTTTTCAAATGCAGTAATTTTAAAACTACTTTTAATTTCCTCCCCCACCCCTCAGGTTAATAATGTCTTGATTTTTTTCCCCAGAACATAATTTTTCCTTTACACATTTATTTGAGCTTCAATATATGATATTCCTTTTTTATATTTTTAATTTCATACATCTTTGATGTGTTGCCTTCACATGGCCCATTTCCTTCCTATAACAAAATTCCCAGTATAAGGTCTGCTGCAGTAATACCATCAATATAATGAGTATCACTAGAGCTTTATAGCAAGTTAGTTTTTTCATATTCTTGTATAAGGTATTTTCTCTCTAATATTCTCATTTTGCCCAAAGCAAAAAAATAAATGAAAGTGTAACACTAGCAGTCACTGGAATCAGTTTTCAGAATTGGTGTGGTCTGGTACAGTGACAATTTTCCCACCTAGCCTCAGAGTAGCAAAACCTCTGCTACAGTTAAAGCAGAGACTTGAAGATGGTAAGGGCTTGGAGCAAGGCCTGACCTCAGGCTGAGCTGGAGAGCCCACAGTGCCACAGGTCATTCTCAGCATTGTGCAGGACAGGATTACAACCTGTGCCTACAACCTGGGACCTGCCCTCCAAGGTTACTCACAGGCAAATCACTTCTCATGGTTCTTCCTACTATGTGCAAGAGATGCATGACCAAAAACAATGACCTCTGTCATAAAGGTTACTGAATGTGCAACAAGCTTACCTCATCAACAATCCACTCTACGAGCAAGTTAGAGGAGAAATTTGTTTAAAATGTTACATGGGAGGAGATAGTTGGTAGTAAATCTAGTTATCTGAATAATTTACTTCAATTTAGACAGCACATAATCACTTAGGCTTGCAGTACATAATTTAAAAAGCACTTACTAAAACTTTCAAATAAGAAATATATAATTAATGTAAAACAACTGGATGGAATCTGTAATTGTGTAAGATAAAGTGTCATTTGGGAAACTTATTGTCAACATAAATGCACATGGTATGTTATATTTACTTGAACATGTTTTACTTGTAAAGCTGTTTAGTAAGTCAAAAGAAATAGTCTCTGAAGTTGGTGATATGAACTACATTGTCTATAACATTTGTAATGTAGGATTATTATAACCCATTAAATTTCATGCT